CTTCTTCTTTTTCTTTTTCTTCTCCTTCTTTTTCTTCTTCTTCTTGTTCATCGTCGTCTGCGTTGTCTGCGTCGTTTAAGTCGTCTAAGTCGTCGCCATCTTTGTCCGTCACATCGGTCTCCATCTTTGTATTCAACGTCGTCGTTGTAACAATCTACGGAAGATTCAACTCCTAACGTATACGATATAATATAATAAGTTTGTTTTAATTGTTCTAATTATTCATACTTTGTTTTATCCTCTTTCTTTTAGATTTATTTTTCAATGTGAAATAAATAAATAGACGTTTTTATTCATCGAGCAAAGCTTTCTAAGAAAAGCATATTTATAAAACAGAAATTACAAGTTATTTTCTGGGGACTATAATTATTATTATTATTATTATTATTATTATTATTATTGTTATTATTATTATTCATTATAATATGTATTGTGTTTTTATTATTAATATTAGTATTATATTTAGTATTAATAATATTATTATTACCATTATTAATTATTATTATTATTATTATTATTATTATAAATATTATTGTGCTTACTAAATCTATTATTATATATTATTATTATTATTATTGTTCTTGTTATAGTTGTGTGTTGTGGTGGTAATTTCGGTAATGATGATGAATCATACATTTCTTTTGAAAAGGGAGAACTTGTCCGTTAAAACGAATGATTAATGAGCTTAAACGTATATAGTATACACACGTATGTATATATATGTATGATGCCCACGCACAAAATGATCTATAACGAGACGCGCACGAGTTTGATGACGTAATGATTTCTAAAGTGAGAGATCGCAACAAAAAGATCATCCATTTAATTTTACCAATTATTTCTTCTTCTTTAAATTTTATATATTTATATAATGTGTAGTACGCCATCTTTGTATAAATTTTCTCATTTTTGTTTTATGATTAGAGCTTTTTTTTTTTTTTTTCTTATTGTTATCGGCCGTGATAAAATGGCATCGAAAAAATTCGTGCAATGTCAACTCTATAATAATACGTTTGTTTCCTTATTTTTGTACGATTAATTTTGAATTCGTAACCGAATTAATTACAATCGATCACTGTATATTATGGATAGCTGTATAAATAATATGTTCTTACAGTTTTTGCTGATAAAGAAATAAACGCGTACCATTATTAATATTGATATACTTAAAAAGTAAATAAGTTAATGCAGAAAAAAATATGTTTAAGAAAAAGAAACAAATGACAAAATATACAGATGTTTTTTTTTTTCAAAAAAAAAAAAAAAAAGAAACATTGAGTATAACGTCAAGTGTTATTCGATTTTTGTTGCCTCAACAAATTCATAGACAAGTAGACAAGAGTGGGAAAATTTCAAAAAGAAAAAAAGAAATATATATAAGTAAATAAATAAATAAATAAATAAATAAATAAATATAACGAGAGCGTTAAAAAAACGAATTTTCGAAAGTGTAAAAAGTAACGAAATGGTGTATTTTAAAATAAAGTGCTCTTACCGAAATATTTAACGAAACAAAAAAGAAAAAAAAAAAGAAAAAGAAAAAATAACAGATAGAGAGTAAAATAAAATTACAGATGGCGCGACGATCGACAAGACACGCGTGTAATTTTTAAAATTAAACAAAAATATCAACAAATTATTGTCTCGGTAAAGTATTTTAAACAATAAGAAGTTGTACCTGATGGCCACGCGTTTATCCAACGTTCAAGGACTCGCCCTAATAATCACATACGGTTTTGAGTCAAAATGTGTAAGAATCCGAAAAGGTCAGGAACTTGATGCCCCGGGTTTTGTCAGACCCCTTAAAATATTTTTTTAACTGAATAACATGAGAACTTTCTACAATTTCAAGCTAATTTTTTGTTCAATACAATCATAGATACAGAGATTTGTATTTTTAAGTTTTATATCTTTACATTTTTAAATAATTTTCAACAATAAACAAACTCGATTTCGAGAACAATGCTCGGGACATGACACCTGACATTATCGGCTTGTTGATAATATCTCTGAAGTTTCAGAGAAATAAAAAGAAATCTATCGGGAGATAGATTTGTTATTGTCAAGCTTTATCGAGAACAATATCCCGGCACGTAGCAATGTTTTTATGATAATAAACGAACAAATAATTTCTGATTATGTGTA